GAGGTTGCAGACAGATGCCGCAAAGATTCACCCCAGCACATCAGCGTCCCAGGAGTTGTATGAACCAGGATTGGAGCCATCTGCTACTGCCAAACTGGGTGATTTGCAGCGTTCTTGGGAAACCTTAAAGAATGTGGTAAGTCTTCAAGGTGGACTTGGTTATGCCCTCCAGACACCAGTAAACTTAGCGATTGTCTTAAGAAACACATGCAGAGAGTTTACACATCCAGTCCACAGCTGAGTACCCTATGCTGGGCCACAGAGGTAAAGCACTGAAGAAAGAAATGTTGTAATCTGAAAGATAAGGGCCTGGGAAGTATTTGGTAACATCCCTTTTCTGGTGTAGATCAGTGAGAAGCAGCGCACACTCTATGAAGCTTTGGAACGCCAGCAGAAGTACCAGGACTCCCTCCAGTCCATCTCTACGAAGATGGAGGCCATTGAGCTGAAACTCAGTGAGAGCCCAGAGCCCGGCAGGAGTCCAGAAAGCCAGATGGCTGAACATCAGGTACAAATAGCCATGACTTCAGTTTCCTGCTTGATTAAATAAGTGCACTCTTGTGACTGTTTGGCCTGTCAGGCATGTGTTTGAGATAGCCAGTTGACTTTTTTTTTTTTTTTTTTTTTAACCTTATCAGTTCTTCCAGAGTAAACAAGAGTCCTAATGATGGTTGTTTCTACTGCTGATTCAGGCAGGGATCTGAGAAAGAGAGAGAGAGAGAGAGAGATTCAGACTTTGAATCTAATTAAAGAAAGCTACATGCATTGATGTTGCTTTTTAACTTTGATTACACAAAATGTGTTTCCTTAGAGTTGCCAGGTTATATTGGTTTTGTTGTGAGCCATTGTTGTAAGAATAAAATATACTCCAAATCTACCTTTTCTGGATATTGTTGTTTTAAGAAACTTAGCCAGGGGGTGTCCCTCCATTATTACTTCAGAAAATATGTCTCAGGCTTCATAAGTTCTGAGTCTCATCTTGTGATTGTCCCTGACTTAAATCATTTTTTAGAAGGTTAGACTAGGCAAAAAATTAGAGATCATTACATTAACCTAATGCAGAAAGATAATGTTAAAAATGTGTCCATTTAAAATGCATGCTAAGAAATGTTTAGAAATTAAAATCTGGTTAATACTTTGGCAGTCTGATGAGGTATGCTGTTAAAATTATATTTATTTGGTATAAGTAGGGTCTTAGGATACTGAGGCACACATTCTCCTACATATTCATCACCCTGATGTAGGAAAATGCTGCCTGTCTGGGACAAGAACCCAGGAGCGTTGACAGTCCTTCAGAAGGCAGGAGGGAAGAAAGATATTTTTAGATGTTAATTAAGAGCTATGAAAGCATGGCTTTCAAGCATGTTTATCAAAGACAGGGTAACTTAACAGCTTTAAGAGTGAAACATTGTGCTTTGTCTTTCTTCTACTTTACATCTTCCTAGTTTTGGAAGCAGGATAACCTTGGAATACACTGCTTGTTCATATGTATAGTCAGATAAAGTTGCATTCTTTTGCAATATATATCTTTCAGTATAACACAAAAATGAGAACATTTCATCTAGGGACAGCATATTGAGAAATAGTGGTTTCAGGTTTTTTACACTCTTGTAGCTTCTGAAGATAGAGATCAAAGTGAATAGTGTCCATTTTTAGGCCTTATTTTGGTAAAAAAACAAAACAAAACAAAACTACCTTCTGTAGGTCTTTCTGCTATCCCATAGTCACCCACCCTCAGCCACATTTGTAGAGGGTGCTATGAAAGCACAAAGTGAGAATTAACCCTTGTTATCCAAGACCAGATCAATCAGGGGGACAGTCAGGGGCTTGGGGGACTATTAAAATGCCATTTACTTCTGAGCTTCCCCCGTTTTATCACTAGAGTGCTAGTCTCCCAAACCCCTCTCCTTTCTAAAGGGGCCTCAGTGTCTCCCATTTCTCTTTAGCTGGTACCCCAGTTTTCTGTTGCCAGTGGCCACCTCTTTCTCATCTGAAGCGGTGTCCCTATTGCTCCAGTGTGCTCCCTGGGGCTCCTGGGACTTCCTTGCTCCTGCGGTTCTGTCTGTCCAGCTGTTCCCTGCACCTCTGCTTCACTGTACTGGAAGGAGCCAGAGGGCTTCCTTCGGGTTGAGTACGTGCTCCTCAGGGCAACCTTGATGGCTGTTCTGCAGGAGGCCCCGTTCTTTAAGCATTCAAAAGGAATATAGTGTAAATTACGCAAGGACTGGATTAGAATGCATTTGAGGGTCACTCACTCAGATTATCAGATGCCGATGTTGCAGAAAGTTTAAGTAGTTTGAGCCTCTCTCCAGCTTCAGGACATCTCCACCTTTGTTCAAGCTCCCTATTCTTGTAGCCCGGGCGGCTGCCCACAATTGCCAAAGACCCATCACTGGTTCCCACAATATTTAGGAGCTGCATGAAAACAGGATCCTGGTGGCCTGCTCTGCCCTTCCAGTGTTCCTCACGGAGAATGCAAGTTAGCTTCCAATCAGCACCACCACCCTGTTGCTCAGGCATTAGGATGGAAACACACAGAAACCGAATGTGGAGCAAAATGATGATTCTGTTCAAGAGATTTAATGGAGACAACTCAAAATTGCACATTAATTCTGAGAATTATAAATTAGAAGTGAATCTGTGACTTTTCTTGTCATTAAGGTCAACCACGTGACTTTTTGTCCCTTTCTAAGTTGGCAGTAGCCGTGCTAGCCATCGCAGCAGTAAGGAGGTACAGCTAATTTAATGAAGATGACCAGTCACTGGGGCTTAATGTTTTATTAAGAGAGAAAATATATTAATGTTACATTAACTAATTCTATTAATATTTTATATTAATAGAATTAGAACATATTAATGTTCTAATGGGAGGGAAAGAAAATAGCAATAATGTAGAATTTAGTATAATTTCATGTATCATTACATATCTACTATTTTTTCATATGAGCTATTTTTGCTACCTTGTGCTATCTGTGCCTAAGTTCTACAAGTTCTGGAACACAGCTGCCTACATGAAAAGCTGGTGGTATCTCAGTATCTAAATTTGTTCTTAGCTTCTGGAATGGTACTTTAAAAATTTCAAGCACTGTTATAGAATTACTATTTCTAAATTTCAACTGAATGGGCGAGAGGAAGTCCAGTATGGTTTTTTATATTTCCTAAAAATTAATAGAAATACTTTAGTTTTTACTTCTTTCCCAACACTCTTTTGGAAGTATTCACGTTTTTTTAAGGAAGTAACCTAATTCCTGCATTTTCCCTTTAAACACTTGTCTAAACTACTGAATTTGTGTGGAATGCTGTGGCTTTCTGATTATCCTCTCTAAATTGTCTTATAGATTTCATTTTTTTTTTTCTGAGACAGAATCTCACTCTGTTGCCCAGGCTGGAGTGCAATGGCGCGATCTTGGCTCACTGCAACTCCGCCTCTCAGGTTCAAGCGATTCTCCTGCCTCAGCCTCCCCAGTAGCTGGAATTACAGGTGCTTGCCACCACGCCAGGCTAATTTTTGTATTTTTAGTAGAGATGAGGTTGTACCATGTTGGCCAGGCTGGTCTCGAACTCCTTACCTCAGGTGATCCACTCACCTTGGCCTCCCAAAGTGCTGGGATTACATGCTGAGCCACCACACCTGGCTGTCTTACAGATTTCATTTTAAGGCTTGAATGCAGTTCATGAGCTGACTTGTGGCTGTTGTTCTGACTGTTAAGCCCTCTGTCATTGCGAACTTATTATCGTGGGCATCTGGTGCTTTGGGGACATGTGTTGCCACACTAAGCTCAGTGATAAATAGGACACAGAGCTCTGTGGTTATTTTGTTTTGTTTTTTCATATATGTAACAACTAAAATAGAATATGGGAAGAAATGTGGTCTCTCATCTGATCTTGGAAGTGAAGCAGGGTTGGGCCTGGTTAGTACTTGGATGGGAGACTGCCCAGGAATACCAGGTGCTGTAGGCTTAAAAAAAAAAAAAA